GGACGGTTTTCCTATCAGATTGTTGGGCTCCTTCTCCTTGATTTTTCGGATCACTTTATAAACTGAGGCGGCTCTTCCTGGACTGAGACAAGGCCACAATCGTTGTTGCACTTTTGTATTCTGGGCCTAGCATTGTGCCAAGGAAGTTGGTGGGTTGGTCTTTGCCAGGGGGATGGTTAAACTCCATCCAGAGAAATGTTAGCCATTTTCCCTGAGAGCTGAGTGGTGGTGCTCTGGAGAGTGGTCTTGGTTGCACTGAAAGAGGAAACGGATCTGAGCTGGGTCTGAAGCTGCTTGGTTTTGACAGCCAAGGGCATTGAGGATACAGAACAAGGAGGCGGGCGGAGCGAGGGCACGGCAGGGCATGCCTGCGGCCACCCCTTTCCCCTCTCTCCCTCTACTGCCTGCCCCACCCTGGGCTCGGTTGCCCTGTTGGACAGAACTCCCCCTGTCCAACTTGCCCTGTGCCCACCCTCCGGTCTCCCTAGGGCCCCTCCCACTTCCCACTGCTCCTGCACAGGGAAGGAGGCGGCCTGCTGCCTCTGGAACCCGATCTCATTGAATCTGCGCCAAGCAGCAGTGCCAGGGGCTCATGGCTGGCAATCTCACTGTCACCTCACTTTCTCTGGGGTGTGTGCCTTCATGGCAAAATAAAAGATTAGAAAGATGCCATTGTGCTCCTACTTTTCAGGTATACACAGTGCCTTGGGGGAGCGCAGTGGAGTTTTTTCCCGGATGGGCTTCTTCTGGTAGGCAGTGTGTGCCTCCTGGGCTCTAAATTGAGTTTCATGTAATTCAATCAGGGGGGGTGTCATTTTTTAAAAAATAAACGTTTTATTTTGAGATAATGTTGTATTCCTGTGCAGTTATAAGAAACACTGCAGAAGCCAGCACGGTGGCACTAAATACCTCTAATCTCAGTGACTCGGGAAGTTGAGGCAGAAGGAGCGCAAGTTCAAGACCAGCATCAGCAACTTAGTGAGGGTCTGTATCAAAAATGGGGGGCTGGGGGTGGGGCTGTGGCTCAGCGGTAGAGCACCCGCCTCTCAAGTGCAAGGCCCTGGGTTTGATCCTCAGCACCACGTAAAAATAAATAAATGAGATAAAGGTATTGTGTGTAACTACAACTGGGTTCGATCCTCAGCACCGCATACAAATAAATAAAATAAAGGTTTTTTGTTTTTTTTTAAATTTTTAATATTTATTATTTAGTTCTCGGCGGACACAACATCTTTGTTGGTATGTGGTGCTGAGGATCGAACCCGGGCCGCACGCATGCCAGCTGAGCGCGCTACCGCTTGAGCCACATCCCCAGCCCCAAAAATAAAGGTATTGTTCCCACCAACAACTAAAAAAAAACTTCTTAAAAGAAAAATAGGGGTGGGGATCAGTGGTAGAGGGCCTCTGGGTTCAACCCCCAGTTTCACAAAGGAAAAGAAATGAAGGAAAGAAGGAAGGGAGGGAGGGAGGAAATACTACAGGGAGATCCACATACCTTACCCAATTTCCCCTCGATTATGAGACCTCAAAAAACTTAACGTGTAACATCACAACCAAGAGTTGACACTGAAATGAAGATTTACATCAACGCAAGATTCCTGATGTGGCCCTTATAGAGATGCCCTCCTGTGCTTCCCATAACCCTGAGCAACTACTGATCTGTTCTCTGTTTCTGTAATGTCATCATTTCAACAACATTATATAAGTGGAGTCATATAGTGTGTGGCCTTTTTGGAATGGAATTTTTCACTCAGCACAATTCTCTGGAGACTCATCCAAATGATTAGTTGTGTCAATAGTTCACCCCCACCCCTTTTGGTGTGTGTGGTCCTAGAGATGGAGCCCAGGGGCATTCTACCACTAAACCCATCCCTCCGACCTTTTATGTTTTATTTTGAGATAGGGTCCTGCTAAGTTGCTGGGGCTGGCCCTGAACTTGTAATTGTCCTGCCTCAACCTCCCAAGTTCTGGAATTACAAGTGTGTGCCATGGTGCCATTCATTCACTAAAGGATATTGGAGTGTTTCCAGGTTTTAGCTGTTTTTCAGTTTTCATGGTTTCTAGGGTTAGAAATCTGAGACCAGGGAAGTGGACCAACTTGCATCAAAGGCCACAGGCCCCAGGCAGGATGGTGCACACCTGTAATCCTAGTGGCTTAGGAAAGCACCTTGGCAACTTAGCAAGGCCCTAAGCAACTTAGTGAGACCTGTCTCAGATTTAAAAAGAGCTGGGGATGTGGCTCAGTGGTTCAATCCCTGGTATCAAAAAGAGGGGTGGGGGACAGGGCCACAGGCAGAACTGGCATTCAAAGCCAGGCTCATTTGCTGCAGTCACATGGGGCCCTGGGTGAGAAACAGACCAGGCAGGCTCAGTGGGAAATATGGAGACCCGAAAGTCATTCACAATCTGATGGCTTAGGGCTGGGGTTGTGGCTCAGCAGTAGAGCACTCACCTCTCAAGTGCAAGGCCCTGGGTTTGATCCTCAGCACCACATAAAAATAAATAAATAAGATAAAGGTATTGTGTAACGACAACTAAAAAATGTTTTTTTAAAAAAATCTGATGACTTAAAAGTCATGTAAGAAAGGTGAGTTGGAATAGGAGGGAGGCCAGGAGATCTGTGGCCAGCATTGACCAGGGATTTGGGGAAGTTGTCAATCTCCTTCCAAAGGGAACATGGGAAACAGAAATGAGAAGGAGGGACCTAGTGACTGATTTGGGTTGTTTGGATAGCATTCAGATGAAATGTATATTCGGGGGCCAGAGGAGAAATGGAGCCGGATGCAGATAAGCTGATGCAATGGAGGAAACTTCTAGAGAAACGTCACCATAGACAGAGCCATCACTGAGCCACGAATGGATGGATGTCTAGGGAGTATGGAGACCAGAGATGCTGGGAAGGACCGGAACTCTCTCCCAGCATGGTGGCAAAGAAGAAAGAAGGAGGCTTAGGGAGGCAAAGAGGCAAAGGAAGAGCCAGATGAGTGAACAGAGGCCACAGAGGACAAGGATTGCCAAGGATCGGGGTCCAGGAAGGGGAGCATGTTTGTTGGCGATTGCTGCATGAAAAATGGACCCAGATCTTGGCGGTTTAAGCCACAATTATTGTCTCACTGTTTCTGTGTGTCAGGCATCCGTGGGTAGCTTAGCAGTGTCCTCTGGCTCCGGGTCTCTCACAGGTGGCAGTCATGGTGTCTGGCTGTCACCCTCTCGGGGTCTTTTCGGGTGGGGAAGGGTCTGTTTCCGCGTCATCCACAGAGCAGATGTTGACGGGACTGAGTTCCACAGAGGTTGCTGGTCCAGGGGCTTCATCAGAGTGAGGGAGCAGGGCGGAACCAGAGAGAGCGTGGCGAGGCGGGAAGGACAAGTCTTTTATAACAGATCTCAGAAACTTTTGCCCTAATTTTCTCCACTAACAGCAAGTCACTGGGACCAGCCCACACTGGAGGGGAGGGGATTACACAGGAAGCTCCTGGGGAGTGAAGGCAGCCTAGCTGGATGTGACCTAAGACTGTTCCAAGGTGGCCCACGACCAGACAGTGCCAGGAGAGTGTGAGGGGACAGAGGACAGGGTGGCAGGCACTGAAGTGGTGATCCCAAGTCCCAGCTGCCCTTAGCACCTCAGAGACCCCACTGGTTCCCAGAAGACCCCAGCTTAGTCACCTGCCTCGGTTCCTTCTCCCCACCCCCTCCCCCGGCTCCACCAGCAGAACCAGGAATAAAAGAATAATAAATAGCCAGGACCAGGCTGTGGCTTGTGGTAGAGCATGTACCCGGCATGCCTGAGGCCCCGGGTGCAATCCCAGCACCATTAAAAATAAATAAATAGCTGCAAAATGCCCTCCCAGAGCCACAGGAGCACACACCTGACTTGTCAGCTCCGTTCCCCCTTCCACCGGCGAAAACCTCTTGAGGGCACAGGAAGAGGGCACCGGCTCCATGGACGTTTCCATGTGCCAGGATTGGCATCCTCTCAGCTGCTCGGCCATCAGTCGCCTGTCCCTTCAGGGCAGGGAGAGTCCCCCTTCCCTGGAAGCTCTCTCTCCACAGAGCCTGGGCATATTTCCTTGTCACCCTGAAGCTGTTTGGGTAGGAGTGACAGACGACAAGGGAGACGCTGAGATCTCAAGGTGGCACTGAGGCCCTCCTCCGAAGGAGCTAGCACCACCCTTGTCCAGGATACTCAGGGGGCAGGAATGAGGGGGAGCCCTCAAGGGCTGAGATGAGGCTGGACAGAGACTTTTTGAGGAGGTCACAGAAGAGAGTAGCAGGTACAAAGTCCCCTCTGAAGGCCAGGTGCAAGATGGAACCATTTGCAGAAGTCCCCTTGTGACAAGGGGCACAGGGAGGAAGAATAATGGCCCTCCAAGTCCTCCACGTCCTAATTGCTGGACCCTGTGAACATGTTAGGTCACATGTCAAGGGGAATTAAGGTTGCAGCTGAGTGAAGGTCACTCCTCAGTGACCCAGAGATGGGGTGACGGCCCTCAATTATCTGAGTGGGTCCTCACCAAGAGAAGAGGAGGCAGAGAAGCTGGGTCAGAGCCACACTGGGCAAGAAGGACTCCACCCGCTGTGGCTGGCTGGGAAGACACAGGATGGGGCCAGGGCGGAGGAGTGTGGGCAGCCCCTCAAAGCTGGCCACAGAGGGGCTGCCCACAGCCAGGAAATGCATCCCCACACGCCCTCCCTCTCCTTCGGCTCCAAGCCGGGGCCTGAGCCCAGGGAGCTGGGCTAAAAGTTGGGAGACCTGGATTCCAACCCTGGCCCTCCTTCTAACTTGCTCTTTGACCCTGAGAAGTCATTTTTCTTCCTCTGGCTCAAGTTTTTTCTGAAACATGACCTTGGTGACCACCCACTGCCACCCTCCTGCGGCACCCCATGCTGGGGGAGGCTCCCAGCCCGGGTGAAAACCCCCACACCCACTTTCAGGGCCAGGTCCTCCCACTCCGGGTCTGACTCCCCATTTGCATTTTTATTCCTCCTCTAACTCAGCACAGGATTGGAACCAGGGATAATAAAAATGGCTCCCGGTGGATGAATGGATAAAGAAACCGCGGTATAGACACACCATGGGATATTACTCGGCATTGAAAGAAAATAAAATCAAGGCATTTGCAGGTAAATGGATGAAGCTGAAGAATATCACACTAAGTGAAGTAAGCCAATCCCCCAACACCAAAGGCCGAATGTTTTCTCTGATCAGTGGATTCATAATGGGAGTGGGGGGAGCATGGGAGGAAGGGAGGAACTTTGGATAAGGCAGAGGGGAGGGAGGGGAAAGGAGGGGGTGGGGGGAAGGAAGGATGTGGAATGAGATGGCCATCATTACCCTAGGTACATGTATGAAGACAGAAATGGTGTGACTCTACTTTGTGTGCAACCAGAGACATGAAAAATTGTGCTCCCTTTGTGTGCTATGAATCGAAATACATTCTGCTGTCATGTATAACAAATTAGAACAAATGAACAAATTAATTAATTAAAAGAAAACAATGGAATAACACCTTTAATATGCTGTAACTAACTACAGGTCCATAATATTACACACAGCAAAGATATCCTCAAGGAGTGAAGGCAAAAATGAAGATGTTTTCAGACAAATAAAAATAAAAAATAAAAATGAATCCCGGAGGACAAACTCCTTGTTCAAAGAGGACATGGAAAACCAGAGAAGTCAAGTAAATTTTCCAAGTCCACACAGCGAATTGGGGCAGTAGTAAACTCAGGTCAGACTTCCAACTAGGTTATTTTCCCCACACTAGGGTGTCTCCTTCAGGGAAACTTTTGTCCCAGAACAGTGTTGGGGTCAAGGGCAGGGGCTTGCTGTAGGCAGTTGTGGATTTGCATGCTGGGCCTTCACCACCAGAGGTTGTAAGCTTACGTTGATTCGGAAGCCATGGACATGTCTAATTCACAGGGTTATTTGGAAAATTAAATGAAATAGTGCCCAATGGCACGTAGCAAGCACTCCACACACGTCAGCTAACAGTACCTTTACTGACTGCCAGTGACTCAAGAAGCTGAGACAGGAGGATCTCAAGTTTGAGCCAGCCTGGACAACTTAGTGAGACTCTCTCAAAAATTAAAAAAGTAAAAAGGGGTGGGGATGTAGCTCAGTGGTAAAGTGTCCCCAGGTCCAGGTTTATCCCTCAGCAGGTGTGTGCATGCACACACACACACACACACACACACCATGAGCTCTTATTAGATCCTAAAAATCCCAACCACAAACCTGAAAGTGAACAAGCTTGTGATTGTTATGTCCATTTTAATAATGAGGCCACTGAGGCCCAGAGAGGTCTCTTGGAGGCAAGTCAGTGGCAGAGTGAGGATTTGCACCCTGCCTGTTGCCCACACAGATTTTTCCAGAGGGGCCAGTGTTCTTTTGTGCATACGAGAATGGCTGAGAAGCAGCCAGCTCTCTGCCCACCTGCTGCTGCAGGTACTGCCTGTGGAGTTTGGGGCTTGCTTCTCTGTCCCTAAGCAATCTAACCCGGCCTCCCCTTGCAGTATGCACCTGTCCCCATGGTGTGCCAGGTCCCTGTATTCAACAAACACCTGGAAAACCTGCCTGTCCCCAGACATCTGGTGTCTCTCCTGGAGACCAAGCCTTTCATTCCACGTTGAAGGACTCGCAGGAGCTAATGAGCCCTGCAGCCCTGGGGAGATGGGGAACCATGAGCAGGGCAGGAGAGCGGTGGAGATGGGAAGAGAGGCTGTGGAGAGGAGGGAACCCGGGTCATGAGCACTCACGTTCTTGAGCAAAATGAGTTAGTGTGTGCCTGAGGACAGGGAACTGGATGGGAGATGGAAGCCAGGTGTCAAGGCTACACTGGAACAGGGAAGGAAAGGGTGGCCTCCGGTACTTCTCAGTGGCAGCTTCAGTGTCTCCCTAGCACGGGCCACAGTGAGCCAGGGTTGGGCCTTCTGGCCCAGGAAGTGGCAGGGAAGGCCTGTCTTACGTCCAGGGGTGCCTGCCTTCTCTGCCAGGGCTAACTTGGATGCTCAGGAAGGAAGTCCTTTCTGCAAGCCCCAAGGCCATCCGCAGGGGTTTTGCAGTGTGTGACTCTCCACTGTCCTCTTGAGCCCCAACTCGGCAGATTTCCTAGCTAACATGGATCCTCTGTTCCCAAAAGCCAGCCCTGAGCAAGGCCCATGGGTTGCCCTGTGCATTGCCCCCTTGGCAAGGCAAATCACCCTGGAATTTCCACAGCAAGGTTTTTCCTTGCCCACCAGGGTGCTGCTCTCATAATACCCCTGGTGCTACTCAGATCAGACTTCCTCCCACACCTCAGCCTTTCGGTCCTCCGCATCCTGGACGCAATTCTCCTCCACTGTTTCTTTTTCTGGTCATAAAATAGGGAAGCAGAGTAAGTAATTTTGCACTGGGGATTGAATCCAGGGGTGTATTATCACTGAGCTAATTCCCCAGACCTTTTTATTTTATTTCATTTTATTTTTTGTTTTGAGACAGGGTCTCACTAAACTGCTTAGGTCTTGCTAAGTTGCTGAAGCGAGTCTTGAACTTGTAATCCTCCTGTCTCAGCCTCCTGAGTCGCTGGGATTACAGATGTGTGCCACTCTGCTGGGGGATACATTAATATATTTTATTACATTATACATTAATATAGATTTATTGAACCTTTGTGAGGAGGATCCTGTCCATGTCAGAGATCTGTGACAGTGGCGTACAGTGGGTGCTCACCCCGACTCCTACTGGGGAGGAAGTCCCCAGACTTCCTATACTTTCCAAAGTACAGGGGCCTGAGGCTAGGGGACAGAGACAGTCTACCCTCCTGAGAGCTCTCAGACTTTACTAAAAAAGAAAAAAAAATGAAATTAGGATTGTTGTTAAAGACTCAACACACCCAGGAACATGCCAGGAAAAAATGTATCAGGACACATACACACAGACACATGCAAGGAGCCTGAGATGAGCAATGGTAAATTTTAGTAGCACCCTGTGCAGGTGAAGAGGTGCGGACCATCTGCCACCCCACTCAGTCAGAGCCTGAGGTCTGGGTGCAGCTCGGGAGGTCAGAGGCTCCTACTGGCATCTCTGGGCCACTAGCTGGGGGGCTGGGAGTGAGAGCAGCCCTGCCTCATGGATTGAGAGCCAAGAGAAAAGGTGCCAGCCCCACCTTGGGCATCTGCTGTGTTTGATGAACAACGTCCCCCAAAATGCTACAACATTTAAAACCTCTGTTGTGCCACTTTTCTGAGCCGTTTTTCCTTATCAAATCCATTCTTTTGGCCAAGTAGGGCTAATATGCCTCACAGACGGTGAAAGCGATGGGGAAAGTGATTTGGGTCCGGAGGTTAAAATGGGTGTTGGCAGCTCCGGGCCAAAGCCCTGGGTCCAGCTGCGGCGGGGGCGACCTCTTGGCCCGCACCGCACCTGCGCCCTTCAACCTCCAGATGGCGCTGGAGAGGCCGCTCACTGTCACTCATGGAGGGGGGGGGAGCTCAGAAATACTGACTTCTGATTGGCTGAGTTCAGTCTTGGTTTCTTTTCGCGTTCCAGCGAGTCTCGGGGAGGGCACGGGGCACCGGAGGCTGAGCTGCGCGGTGCAAGTGTGTGTGTGTGTGTGTGTGTGTGTGTGTGTGTGTGTGTGTGTGTGTGTGTGTGTGTGTGTGTGTGTGTGTGGCGCTGTACCTTTTTTTCTGGCATGTCCTCTGGGTGTGTTCAGTCCTTAAGGGCAATCCTAATTTTATTTTTTTCTTTTTTTAAAGACATTTTGCTAAGTGTCTAATTAATTGATTTCCCCATTTTCATACACTTGCAAGACATTTCATAAACTTACCCACCAGGGAAAATCCTTGCTGGGACCTGTTGATAATAAGGACATGGTTTCTTCATCAGGCAGCTGAGGTTCAGGGTCTCCCAGGCCTTCCCTCTTCACCTTTCCCTTAGTCTTTGACTGAACGAGCATTACCAATAGGATTGTATTTGTGGTTGTGTTTTGTTTGCACGTTGGACAGTGTTTGTCAAGCTTCCACTATTTGGTGACACTGGGTAAGGCTGCTTAGGGTCAGGAATGGAGCAGATATGGGCCCTGCCTGGCCTGGAGGAGCTTACAGACCACAGCACAGTGGACACACACACACACACATTAAATACTTTAGAACCCTGCTAAGAGGAGGGGTGTGGTGGTGCATCCTGGGATCCCAGAAACTGGGAGGCTGAGGCAGGAGGATCCTACATTTTTAAGTCCAGCCTCAGCAACTTAGTGAGATCCTGTCTCAAAATAAAAGGACCGGAGATATATGGTTCAGTGGTAGAGCACCGCTGGGTTCAATCTCCAGTATGGAGAAAAAAATTATACCCCCCCTGCTGAGGGCCCTAAAGGAGAAGTGGTGCAGAGCAGCGGGGTTCTGAGGAAGGGCTGTGGTAAGTGCCGCCACAGCTGGAGAGCAGCTCTGCAGTTAGACTGACCTTAGAGCAGAGGGCCCAGGGGCTTCTTTGGGGAGTTCCAGGCTGTGGGGCAGACCAAGGGAGAGGCTGTGGGGGGTGCCCATGGCAGCTGCGGGGGGGGAGGGCTACTTGCCTTGTGTCTGGTCAGTACAGAGAAAAGCATTGGACCCTGTGTAACTTCCAGAATATTCCTTTCTTTCTCCTGATAGAAAGCCATGTTTGGGGCTAGATGTGATTGGGGACTGAAAACCCGAAAGTTGTCAAAGGAGGACTGGCAAGACTACCAAAGACTCCAGGTGAAACAAAGGCCTGGAATCCAGAACATGGTGGAGTCCAGAACATCCAGAGGGCAGGAGAGAGGCAGGATGGTGTTGGCCGGAGAGTGAATTAGCCGCTTGGAGAGTCTGGTGCAGGTGGCTGGCCGGGGTGGACCAAGGCCCAGAGAGTCATATACTGTCCTGGATTGGAGACCTACCAGAGGAATTTCCTGCCAAGTAAAATTGTGTGTTTCTCTTTGCTCACCTAAAAAAGTTGCCAGTTACTACAGAGGAGGGGCAGAGACCATGACCAACAAGAGCTCACACACGATGCCCCCTCCACTGCCCCCCACTCCACGCCCATGACTCAACTCTCAAACTTCCACATGCTTTTCCCAGAGCCCTTCCCACCTCCTAGCTTTACACAACTGCTTACTGTCTATCTCTTGTATGGGAACGTCATTATTTGCCGTTTTCCTAGGACCTAGAATATGGCCGGCACATAGTAGGTGCTCAAGGAAATACTCTTGAATGACTGAATGAAGCAGATGCTTCCTGGTCTGCATCGAAGGCTCCCTCAGTCTAGTGTAGGGTGCACAGAGCACATGATCCCTGGCAAAGACAGGGCTGTCCTTAGTTTGGGGGAAACTAGCCCATTTGTGGCAAACTAGCGAAAAAGATTAAGATAGGACCTTGTGCTTCAGAGTCTGGAAATAGTAGACCCCAACCCCCAGTGAGGAGCAGCCAGGCCAGGGAGAGCTACATGTGAACGTGGTGATGGGGCTGAGTTCTGGAAGGTGGCCCTCCTGGCCCTAACCTGGTACTCCTGGACCAGCCCCAGGGGTATTTTTTCCATTGTCTGAAGACGGTAGCTGGGGCAGAAGTGTGGCTCAGTGCTCTGGGCCCCTCCGTCCCCTGAAGGTGGTCCTTCTGTGGCTGTAGGGGAGATGAAGTGGTGCCTGAGCCTGAGCACCCTCACCAGTCTGGGGAGACCCCACTGGGGTGACTGAGCTACTTGGGACTGGGCCCGGGGCTCAGTCCCCAGCAGCACCAGGAGCCTGCATGACATCAGTGCAGCGTGGCCTTTGAGTCATGAGGCCTGGCCAGTGTGGCCTGGCGTGGCCTGACCTGAACTGCAAGCCGGAGGGGGAGGCAGACACGAGTGTCAGAGGAAGGAACGGGAGTAGCAGGGACAGAGCTGAGCAGTTGCTGTGTGCCCAGCCTGGTGCCTAACAACTGTCTAGAGTGGAATGATCTTTGTTTTATAGATGCAGAGAGGAAGGCTGTGCCCTGTCTGAGGTCACACTCTTGAGAGGAGCAGCAGCGTCAGCATTTAAAGGCAGGCCTGACTGTCCCCAGAGCCCAAGCTGGTCCACTGAAACCCACAGCTGGGTAGGAAGCTCAGGGAAGTCCCCGGCTCCCGACAAGGAGGCCGTCGGCCTCTGGGAGAGCAGAGGCAGAGGCACAGCCATCCTGGCGAGGCAGAGAGGGCAGCTTAGCAGGGGCCCTGCAGCTGCAGGCTCACAGGAAGAGGAGCAGAGAAGGTCCAAAAGGATAAACCAAGGCGTGAGGTGGCAAAGATTGGCCAGGCTCAAGGTGGCCTGAGGTGGATGACTTGGGGACCAAAGCTGGAGCAGGGTCACACAAGAGTAAATACCCCCAGGAGTTGGACAGGTCACATCCCAGGGCAGGTGAGGAGGGGGGCAGGAGCAGACAGAGGGACAAGCAGGAGGCTGGAACCGAGAGGACTGAGTAGGGCCCGGAGCCCACAAGCCCAGGCCCAGGGCATGCTGCCAGGACCCTATCTTTCTAGGCAGCTGGGGAGGGATGTGTTGGGGACACCAGACAGTCCTAGGCCCTCAGGCACTGGCTCCTGTGTGGATACCATGTGATCTTTTGCCTCCTCAGCCTCTTGGAGCTCCTCCTGCAGATGGGCATCCCTCTGCACCATCCTAAACCACACACCATTAGCCGCACTGGAAAGCAGCTTGGACCAGTCCGTATGGTCATTAGGTTCTGCGTCTCATTTCCAGGCCAGCGCACCCCCTGGCGTTGGCTCACTCAGGACTGTCCAACACGACCTTCCAGTTCCTTCCTCCACGTTTCACTCCGTGGGCACATCTGGGCACAGGTATAGCTCTTTGGGGTGTTCCCAAGTGAGAAGATCCTCCATGGTCACAGCCACAGAACGGAAAATTTCTTCTGGGGACCACGGTGATTGGCCCACCTCCCGCCCACCCAGCCAGGGCCTCACGCAGCCTGAGGTGATGGCTCCTTGCTCGGGTGTACAGCTCCGGTGCCTCAGCACTGGGCAGAGTGAGTAGAGTGTCACTCAGGAAACCAGGTGTTGGCAGGTAAATTCTTCTCTTTTAAAAAAGCAGTGAAATACCTTTATTATCTGTAAACTTTGTTCAGACACTATGGTAGCTTTCACAAGTGTTAACAGAAATTTAATCTACTCTATGTGTATCTATATTTAATGAACAATTTTGCTTATAAGCACTCATTTTAGTCGCCAGGGAGCCTAGAGAACATAGTATTCCATGTTGTGAGGACACCTGAAGACTGTCACTACCCTGCCCTGGGGAGCTTGCAGGGAGCTCAGGGATTGAGAGGAACACCAGGGCCTAGCTCAGTGGGGATGGAGCTCAATGGCAGGACACAGGCCTACCACACTCGAGGTCCTTCACTCCATCCAGAACCAAAACCCAAAAAACAACTCCAGGGCCCAAGTCCTACGTGAGGGAGTGCTCAGTGACATGAATGGAGAATAGCGTTTCAAGGAGGTGACAGGCGGGGCTGTGTACAGGCTGAACTGACAACTGTGACCGTGCAGAAGGGTGTCTTCACCTCATGCTCTTCCTCGATTGCCCGTCTCTCTAAAGCCACCTCTCCCTTCTTGCTTTGAACACAGGGTCACCCTGGACAGTCATTACGAAGCCTGCTGTCACTATGGGGTAGCCCAAGGACACATCTTCCAGGAACACCATCCTTCGGCATTTACCTATGCAAATGTTACATTGAGCAAAGTGGCACAGTCCGCATGTAGATTGGGGTGTGGGGCTTTTGCCTCTGGAGTTCCCCCGGTTTGAGTGATGGCAGCAGAAGGATCCAGTGAGCAGGTGCCAGGAGCAGCTGACGGGGACCAGAGGAGCTCTGCCTCAGCAGCGAGGCTCTCCTGGTCGCATGCAGAAGCAGCACAGTAAGGGGGGTGGGGGGCAGAACAGTGAGGGTCCCCCAGAAGTTTGGTTGTCTCAGCTGAGTTCTCCTCAGAGCCCGAGGGCGGCTGCCTGGGAAAGGCCAGGGTTTTCTCAGGTGTGGCCTTGAAAGATGCAGTGAGGACCACAGGGAGGCAGCCCTAGAACACAGGGTGGCAGGCAGCAAGGCAGGTGGGCATCTGAGGGACTGCAGAGGGTTCCCAGCTGACCTGTGGGAACTGTGGGAGCAACAAAGCTAACTTTTCCAGGGATCCTGTAGGGCTGGATCTTGCTGTGAAATTTTCTGCTGTCTCACCGTTTCCAACCCATTAAATTGTTTATAAAACCCCTCTGAGGCCAACAAGTTAAGACTTTGGACCACACTCCAATGGACGCCCCAGGCAGCAAGCAGCACCGGCTTCCCTAGCCTGCTCATAACCCAGCTCCCAGGGTGGCGGACCCTAGGCACTCCCTCTCCAGAGGGCAAAGCTGGCAAATGATATGGGACAGAAGCCAGTGCATGGGGTCACCTGCATACCCTCAACCCCGTGAGATTTCAGCTTTACCCTTCCCAGCCTTTGCCACCAACTTCTTTTGTGGCTAGACACACTTCCCAGCCTGGTGTCCACGGTGGCTAGGATGAGGGGCAGGCGAAGTAATGCCTTTGCATTAGGCCCCCCAATCCTGGGCCCACATTGCCACAGGAAGGAGTCCAGTCTTAAGCCTCCCAAGGCCTGGCTCTGGTTTGGAGAGTTGAAATAGAGCCCTGTCCTTCTCCCCCAGTGAGACTGTGGGCTGCGTCCTGAGCAGCCCTCTGCGTCTTGCTTTGCCTTTGTCATTTTTAAGGTAAATCCACGAAGAGATGTATTTATTTGCTTTGCGTGTGCTGTGGTTGAGTTGATTTTGTTTTGACACATTGGTTCAAAATAAGACTGACCCTTTGGAAAATCAACTTGTTAAAGCCATTTACTCAGCTTCAGCTCGAGGGGCTTAATTGAAAACAGCTGAGGCACACTGACATCACCACAGGCCTCCAGACTGAAAGGGACCTCAGAGTTGTGTGGGCTTGCGAGTGACAGCACAGCTTCAAAGGCAAGAGCCAGCAAGGCGAAGTTGTATCCCGGGAGGAAGGTTTTCCTTCAAAAATAGTTCCTTTGGTGTATTTTTTTTTTAAATAAAGATACTAAAGGAGCTGACAAGGCATATTTAAGACCATGCAAGAAAAGCAGGAAACAGGAAAAGAACTCACTGGAACTGTCTAACAGCAGCCTTGGCAGGGCTGTGGGTGAGTTCATATAACTGGACAGCATGGTTTCTGCTATTTCGTATTTTGCTACAATTTGATTTGCTTCCATTTGGATTCTTCCTCCCTTGGCACTTTTCTGTGCCCTGTGCTTGGTAATTAGCAAGCATCACTTGCATGATTGCCTTTTACACCCACACCCCACTGCAGGCTGCAGGCCCCAGAGGGCGCGGCAGCCACCGCTGACTGGGGTCCAGGATCTAGTGCTCTTGGTGTGGAGGCCAAGAACACTCTCATTTCAGTGCAAGTGCCTGCTTACCCCACCATCTTTGCAGAGGTTCCCCTCTGTTTGGCCAGATTAGTCCAGATCAGTCACCTGATGGCACACTTCTGGGAGGTTGAACGCCACGTGTATGGGGGGCATGTGACACGAACGTCACAGTCAGGTATGGGGAAAGTCAGGTAAGTAGAAGCATCACCACTATCAGTTAATGAGTATGCTGGGAGTGGAGGGGAGTAGGCAAATGCTCATTTAGCTGGAGGCCAGGATACAGTGTGCCATCTAGCATTTTCTCCTGAACCTGTGAAGGTTCAGGGTGATCCCAAGTAGCAGGACCGGTTCCCTAGATGCACGTTGGCAACAGGAAGCCTGGGAAGCCTGAAGGAGCTCCTCTGCCCCTCCCTGGTGGCCTTGGCCCCTCCGACTGCCTTGGAGTCAGCTCCCTGGGCTGTCCAGATGGTTCCTTCACCCTCTCACATGCTACGACTCCGCTTGTTCTAACCCTGGAGAGGCTGGGGAAATGTCACAGCCTCTCTGGGGCTAATGATTACATTCCTATTCTCCCCTCACGGGTGTGGGGTGGGGTGTTGGTAGAGCCAGCAAGTGTGAAGCCTTGATTAGGGCTGGGAGATCCCTCAGAGGGTAAGGAACCCCAAGACCTTCCATTTCTGCAAAGCAGTTGAGGACCCTGGAAGTTAGCATCGGTCCCTGTGAGTGGCTTCCTGAGGCACAGTGGGCCTGGTGAAAGACCACCTTGCTGAGTGGGAGGCTGACAACCTCCCCACCTTCCCCCTTCCTACTGAAGGGAGTTAATATGCAGAAAGAACTAAGGACAGTGCCAGGCTCAGAAATCCTGCTCAATCAATGTCTACTGGCCATGGAGACGCACTGTGGTTTAAATATGGAAACTCACGTTGAAATGTGGTCCCCAGTGTAACATGTTGAGAGATGGTGGGATCTTTAAGGTGATTAGACTGCTAAGAGGGATTAATGCCGCTCTCATAGGGCTGGATTAGGTGCAGCAGGAGCAGGCTGGCAGACAGCATGTTTATACATACTCCTGGCCCTTCTGCTCTTCCCCCATGTTAGGCTGCAGTAGGAGGCCCTTGCTAGATGTGGCTGTCTGATCTTGGACTTCCAGCCTTCAGGACCATGGGATAAATCTTTCCTTTATGAATTACCCAGTCTAGGTATTCTGTTACAGCAACTGAAAATGCACTAAGATAAGGCAGTATTTCCCAGTGGTCAGACACCTGTGGTGACAGCCTGTCTGGATTCAAACCACTTCCTGAGTCCCTCATTTCAGTTGCCTAATCTGGTCATAGGGGACTCAGGCGAGGTCGAAACAGTGCTGGCATATGTAAGTGCCACCTGGGTCCTCTGGGGCTATTATTTCTACCTTCTCATAGCATTTGTCTTCCTAGAACCCATATTTTGGAAAAAACAAAGTCAAAATAAAGTCAATTGGCTGACATGTACAGGTTGAGTTGCACAGGAGAAGGGTAGGCCCGAAGGTGGAGGTGGTGTTGGGAATTAGAGACATTATCTTGGTTAAGATTTAAGAAGTACATTAGTGGTGTTCCTCCACCATTGTGGCCTTCAAGATGGAAAACCAGGCTCCACTAAACCAACTGGCTGCACACTGCACTCTTTACCTAAGCCGTCTCCCTGCTCTTCCCCAAAATTGGAATATTCTTTTTCCTTGAAATTTTGCGGAAATTCGACTACGTTAGCAGTTGGAGGTCGTGAGACATGGGAACATCAGAGTCAAGCAGACAGGTGCAGCTGGGTCATCTTAGGGAAGGCACCTATCTCTCAGAGTCTTGTTCTCCTGGGAATTGATAAGCCTACATCTAGCTTTGTGAAGCAGATGACATTAAATGACACCTGGCACACAGCAGGCACTTAGCATATGCTCATTTCCTTCCCGTTGCAGCAAAAGCCTTTGAAGAAGCCCTCTTGTTCTGGTCAGCTAGCAATATTCAGCAAACCCGAGGCACACATATTTGTGTGTGAGTCACTCTCTCTTTTTTCCCCCTTTGGCACTGGGAGATTGAATCCAGGGGTGCTTTACTATTGAGCCACATGAACAGGCCTTTTTATTTTTAAATTCTGAGAAGGGGTTTTCTGAGTTGCTGAGACTGGACAGTGCACTCTGGCTTGGGGCCTTGATACTGGTGGTAGTTTCTGAGCCTCTAAGTTCCCGTCCAGGGTGTGCCCAGGTGTGCTGGGAGGGAAAGCCTTTTCTGATGGGAGTGTGTGTGCACAATGTGGCTAGAATGACCTTGTCCCAGGGAGCTATCACCCCTCCACAGGACAAGCAGGGGAATAAAGATCCAAGCTGCATCATAAAATGTGAAGAGGAAAAGGCCAGTGAGGAGCCAGGCGGGGGCCATGGGCAGGTTAGGGTGGGGGCTTCGGTAAATAGGAACGTTAAACAAGGGCCCCTCGCAGCTCCACCTTAGCTTATCCTGCACGGTGTGCTGTGCAAAGTTTGGCTCCAGAGGCCTCTCAGTGACCCCAATCTAATTCTCCCCACTCTCCCGCAATGGCTGAAGGCAGCAAGATAAGCGGCCTCCTTGAACGAGGCAACCTGCAGGAAATCCGTCAGCCCCCTGAGGGTGCAGCTGAGTGCGGACGGCTGAGCGAGGGTGGGTGTGGCGAGGAGGGAGGCGCCGGGCAGATAAGAGCCTTCAGGGGGAGGAGGCGTGGGGGGCAGGCCTGCCCAGGGAGTCCGAGAAGGGGTACCCAGGCCTAGATAATGAAGCCCCTGGTGGAAAGCAAGTGGGGATATAATTAGGGTAAAATCCAGAGCTAATGAGCTGTGGCAGCAACAGGACAAAGGAATTAATTGTGCCGAGCCCGGGGTGCAGCATGAGGGAATGTGCCGGACCCTGCCTCCCGGCCGGGCTCCCCTCGCGGGTCCTCCCGGGTCCAGTGCAGGCCGGCGGAAACCCTTGTGTCTTCAGCTCATCCCTTTGCCTTCTCTCCTTCCTGCTCCCGTTTTGCCTGTGTCCCTCCTTTCACCCTGCTGTTCCCGTCCTCCGAGCTGGACTCTGGGCTCCCAGGGTGGGCTGGGTGGTGAAGGGTGAAACTAGGATGGTTGCCTAGGCAATGAGGAAAATAGAGCAAACACCAAGCAGAGACCAGCGGGAAAAGAGGGACCAGAGGAGGGCAGGCGTCCCACCAGCTCCCTCCCAGCCAACACCGGCGGCTCCTGCTCCTGGGCCCAGAGCCGTCCTCCTCCTCCCCAGCAGATCCAGAGCGTTTTTTCTTTTAGGAGACCACCCTGGCACGGAGCCCTGAGGAGGCAACACTTAGCAAGGCCAGGGACCACGGAGGCCGCTTGTCCCCGAGGCGCAGCTCTCTTCACAACTAATTGTTGCCAGGTTTTGTGGAGAAGGGACAGCTGTAGGGCCTACTCTGGGGGGTGGGGAGCACACCAGGTCTGGGTGTGGAGGCTGCAGACCAAGGACCCAGACAGGATGTGCTCTCTGTTAGGGGGTGGGTACCTGGTATGCAGGATGCCTTTTTTTGGAGGGGAGGGCAAGAGACTAAGGTCTTGGGACCAGGCCATGGTGGTGGGGACAGTGATTCATGAGCCTGTCGGGCTAGATACTCTGTTCAATTCCAAGGGTCAGGTCCTGGGTCTAAAGCTTTGCTCGCCTCAGGCAAAACTGCAATTGCCGGCCCACACTGCCCAAGCCAGAGGGCCTTATGGGCCTCACCCAAACTGGGTGGGCCGTAACTGCCCTGCCATCCCCATAGGCCCACAGGCTCTGAGAGCTTGGCAACGGCTGGAAGGCCGGCTTGCTTTCGGGCATTTTTTCTGTTACCTAGTTAAGGACTCTGGTTGGGCTGAAGCAGATCCAGGCTATCATTGGTTATGAATGGTAATTAACTCATTACTAGTGAGCAGCAAGCAGAGGCTCCGGGGCCACGGAGTCTCTGTCAGCCATGACTCCTAAACTCTCAGGGCCTCACTCTGCCCAGGCTCCCCTCCTTTCATAAGCCCAAAGACCAACACTTGTGATTGGAACAGACTTAGTAGTGACCGTGGCCATCTCCTCCTTTGAGTGGCCTCACTTTGCACCTACTGTCCCGAGTCTGAGGTCAGGGTGCAGTCCCAGCTCCTCCAAGTTCACCCCTCATCTCAGTTACACATTCAGACAGGGCTTCAACCTTAATCTCCAATACCCTGGACTCGGTGAGGCCTGAAGACTTGAGGAAAGGCTCTGCACTGAGCACACAGTTTGTGCTCATTAGTATCCTCGTGGGCAGATGCCAGCCCTGCTTCCTCTTTTAGCAGTGACAGGCCTCATTCACTATGAAGACAGCTATCTGGTGTTGGCCTCTTCAAAGGCTCCAGGAGCCTGGCAAGTCTTGGCTCCCTGAATTTCAAAATGAAAGAACCCATCATCCATCCAAACTTTCAAACTGGTAAACTAATTCTGCTTTCTAGAGCTGGTACCCGCTTCTTGAATGTCTCAGTCCTACCCTGGTTGGCTGTCCCCTTCGAGTAGGTGGAAGAGAGATGGCGCCAGTAAACTCCGTTTGCAGATATGCCCATGCACGGGACACTCCAAGCCCACCACCCACAGACTTGCTTTCCCAGGCTTGGCTTAGTATGCAGAAAAGGCATCAGATCCCTGGGCCTGCTGCTATTCCTAAGTGGGCGGATTTGTATCATATAGCTTAGCTTCTCTAGAAATCATTCTCTCCCAGCTCATGACCAGGGGAGATGGAGTCCAAATGTTTTTTTAGTGTGAAAGATAGTATTTTATTCTGGGGAAAGCATTGTGGGGTAGAAGCTCTAATTGTGAGGGGTAGGCACCTACACACCCTCTCTGTTATCCTTCCTATGCCAGGCATCCATTAACATGCCCCATGCTGAGACTGAAGACTCACAAATGACCTGTCACTGGACATCTGCGATGGCGTTCTCTGCAACTTAAAGGCTTTGCCTTCATGCTGCCCCCATCCTCTTTCATGTCTGAGAAGGTATTATTGATTATTGGAGACCAATAACAGAGTCTGAGGGCCACCAGGACCAGAAAACATTCCCCCAGGGCCCTAAGTCAAGAAGTGGGACTTACTCTTTTTCTTCTTCTAGAATAGACAACTGACCCTGGCCTTCTGCTTGACTGGCGATGGCTTCTGCACAAATGTGATCTTTTTATTTCTTTATTTTGTCCTCCTAAAAATGTTGTGCAGTGGTCCTCCCACTGTGGTCTTTTAGATCAACAACACAACATCACTTGGTAACTTGCTAGAACTGAAAATTCTTTGGTTTCAGCCCAGAGCTACAGAATCAGAAATTCTGGAGGCATGACCAAACCATCTCTGTTTCAGCCCCCCCCCCCAGGGGATTCTGATGCATGCTCAAGTTTTAGCACATTGCCTAAGAGCTCCAGGTAGAAAAAGTTATTTCATTTCTGATCCACACAGAGACCTTGTCCAGGGCTGTGTGGTTTGTAGCCACAGTGTCTTCCCAAGTCAGGCAGGCCACCTACCAAGCTTCTGACCCCTTAGAGTGCAGAGACCATAAGCCAGACATGAAGAGTGACTCTTCACGAGCCCTTGTCTTCCAGGAGGTGCAGCTGAAGTCAGATGGCTCTAGGCATTGCCATGGCAACTTCACCTTTCTGAAACTGTGGGCACCAGGAACAGGAATTAAGCGGTGTGGGAGAAGAGAGTCTGCCATTGGATAAAGCATAATCAGCAGATGAGGTGTGACAATAAATAGAAGCTCAGGATGGCTGGGACTTATGGTCCAGGGTTTGCCAGGGGGTTGTGCTTCCTCAAGGCCCAGGATCCATCTGGTTCCTCTCCAGGGTCTTCACAGTCACAAAACAGCACCAACCCCCAGTGCTGCAGGACAGCCTGACTCCCCCCAGGGTTCATGGAGATGCTGACAGTAAATGCCTCTCAAAAGATATCAACCTGGGTTAAATTGGGCTCCTAAATGGCCATGGAGCAATTAAGAAGAAAAGTGCTGCTACATCAGAATGACCACCTGTGTTCCGAGTCAGGGCTGAGGAAAGGAAACCAGCTTCAAACTTCCAGTGTGGATCTTGGCCTGAAAGCAGATGCCAAGAAGCCACGAGGCACCTCAGGGGCATTAGACAAGAGTGGATATTCTAACTAAAAGAAATCAACTGTGACGGAGAATTTATACAACAATGGCATGTTCAACGTCCAAAATACCGGCATCAGGGCATCCTCAACCCCATCTCTACCCTCTCATTATCCTCCAGGGCTGGTCAGCATAAGTGCTTAGGAGATCTGAGCTTCTCCTACAGGCAAACACTGCTCCTTCCCAGAGACAGGAAGAGAGCAAGAGAACCTGCAGACTGGTCATTGGCCCTGAGGGGCCCAGGGGATGCTGCCTATGCACCACACACACCTCAGCTGGCCTGAGCACTCAGCTGCTCTGGAGACACTCGTGTTTTGAGTCTGAGTGTTCCTTTAACCCTTTCTGCTCTGGAAGAAGGAAGCAGCTCACATAAGGAGTCAGGAGATGGGATTCAACCCTGTTCTCAGGGGAAAGGTATATAGTGTGAGATGTCAGGATCATGGGGGGAAGCAGTCCCTCAAGAGACTGTCATATCTTCATGCATAACCTCACACTGGTGGGCACTGAGTGTCCCCAGAACTTTCCATGTGTTTGTGTTCACCCTTCCCCCCTGTGGCCTTCCAGGCAAGTTAGGATGCCTTTCCCCTTTTTCCTGAAAGTGTGGAAACCTTTTTACCTTTTTCCTTTTCTTTACCCAAGCCCCTGCCGGCTCTTCAGGCCCTCAGTTTGGCTAGCCCACCCAGTGTGGGTGAGGCAGGCTTCCTACTGGGGCTTGGAGGAAAGGTGTCTTTTTCACAGATGAGCAGGAGCCATCTCCCGTCTCCTTTCCCTCTTTGCCCTCAGATAGCTGCAGCACCCATGCCCCTCATCCTAGTAGTAGGACACCAAGAACCTGGGCCCAGCAAGGCACCCCACTTCCACATCTCCAGCCTTGACCTGTTAGAAATGGGAATAACTGAGGCAGAGCCAGGTGAGAGGCTGCGAGTTAACATCCACCCTTTGTCCTATCCCAACGGGTCCTTTACGCGGTGCTCTTGGGACTCTATCCATGTGTGGTCACAAGTCCAGCCCAGTGGCTCTGCACATACCTCAAAGCCAGGGCAGGGGTCTGCAGAGGTGGTGGTGGGGGCAGCCAGTTGTGGGGCCTCTCGCTCCATTCCAGTCACTGCCCTTTATAAATATTTATAGCAACTCCTCTACTAAAAATAACATCCTGGAGCCCAGGGAGCAGAAAAATATAAATGAAAATCACCGGGAATTGGACTTGATCACGTGTGCCTGAGCCCCACGGAGCCCCAGGGAGAGGCTGCGCCTCTGGCAGCACGCCCCCTGGCGGCCGCCCCCCCTCTCGCCCCGCCTCCTGGCTGCAGAGCCGCAGCATCTCGCTCCGCGGGGCGGAAGCCTCAGCAGTGCGAGAAAGGAAGGCGGCTATTTATAGCACTACCATTGCGGCCAGGGTGTGAACGTCTACAGCGTTGGGCAAGGCCTGCAGCTTTCTTTTGCATAGACGGAAGAGAACCTGTTGGTTTTTAAAGGTCAAAGGTAAGGAGGAAACTTGTGCCTCCACTCTAGGGCGCGTACCACGTGTTGGCCAGACGCCAGATCCATCAGGTCACACACACACAAGGGCTTAGAGCTTTTCTTTTCTCTTTTCAACCTCCCGGAAAATTCCTGATGCAGAGATGAGACCATGCCCGGAGGGGAGTAATGAAGATGCTAGTACATGCAGGGCTGCGCAGGGGAAGGCCCACCAGCTGCGGCTTTGCTCCAGGCAGGCCCTCCCCACTTCCCACCGGTTTGGCTCCCCTCTCCCTGGCGATGGAGTGACGTCTGACAGCCTGCAAGCCGGGTCCAGGTGTGCAGCAGAAAGATGGATAGGAATGTGCCTCTGGGGGAAGACCGTGCCTTGGTAGTGTTGGTGCCAGCTTGCCACGTCCTCTGTGCCTGTGCAAGACAGACTCACCATTAGTCACCCGCACCACTTTGGCCTGGGGCAAACACTGCTAACAGCTGCTCTGAACAAGTTCATCTGCAGGGAGGGGCTGTGGGGCTCTAGGGGTGAAGTGGATTCTCTGAGATGGGGCCTAGGGTCTTCTGTAATCATTGCTTATGTCACAGGGTCACGCAACGTTTCCATGGAAGAACTGGGTTCGCAATGACAGGTTGAGTGCGGTTGATTCTTGGGAAGAATTGTGGCTGAGCAAAGTAGAGAGGATGCCAAAGCACCTATTAATACTGAGGAAGACAGGAGGGAAGGCCTAGCCTCCGTCCAGTAGAGAGAGCAGAACTGGTAGCCTTTTCATCTCACTCTAAGTCGGTTTTTCAAAACTCCTGATGTGGGTCAAAGAGGACAGTGGCACTGAGCTCCTTGGTGTAGGCCTTGGTTTCCTCTTCTGTATCAAGAGGGGGTAGGCCAGGCGACGAGAGCACACGTCCCTTCTACTCCAGTTCCTCTGCCCCAGGGAGAGGGGCTCTGGCAGGCTCCTGCAGGCCAGTCAGTTCCTGACTTCCCCAGGGAGCTGTGGTGCCCGGGCTTGTTTTGGAAGGGCCTCACCTGCATGTGCATGGCAAGTTCAGGGAGAAGCTGCTCTGCTCTCCAAGACCCTGTGGCTGCATTTCCAGGGCACGAGAGAACACCAGATGCTTGGGGACTGGCATCTGCAGCATGCACCGGCTGACCCACACAGGCTGAAACTGCAGGGAGGTGTGTGTGGGGAACGCAGCCTTTGGGGACCTGGTCTGGGTGGGAGGGAGAGGTTGGGTCTGGCCTGGAGGCAGTTCCAGGATGATACTACTTGGAAAGGTCTTAACGAAAACTTCTGGATCCTGGGACTGAGGCCCTGGCTTTTTTGCCCTGAAGATATGTAACTGAAGATGATGTCTAATTTTAAAAAAAAGGGGGGGGAGGGGAAGAGAGGGCAGAAAAGAGCTCAACAGTAGACAGCAGTTCATGGCTGCTCCACTTGAATCGATTCTTCTCCTGAACTGATGGCTGGCCTTTGCTTCGATCCCCCTGCCTTTCTTTGGGTGGGGTGGTGTTGTGGTGGTGGTTCTGGGGATTGAACCAGGGGTGCTCTACCACTGAACTACATCCCCAGCCCTTCTTATTTGAGTCAGGGTCTCACTAGGTTGCTGAGGTTGGCACTGACCTTCATAAGCCTCCTGGATGGCTCTACCCCTCCTTTTAGAGAACAAACCCAGAAGCAGCAATATCTTGGAGTTGGGACCACAGTGAGTTGTGGTCTCAAGATGGAAAAATAGGAGACTCATTCCTTAAGGCAGTGGGTGTACTTTGATTCATTTGTTCTTTGGGAGAGTGGGAAGGTACAGCTTGGCCAGGCTGCATAGGAAGTCGATTGGTCTGCTCTCTAGTCAGTGTGATCTGCATGGCTCCAACATGTGCCTGGCGTCAGGGCTAGGCCAGGGGATAGTGCAGGGTGATAGGATCCCGGGGTGCTCTGGCTGTCGTGTGGTATCTGTGGGAAACAGGAGCACTGGAGGCGGCCCAGGTGAGTGCCTGCTTCAGCCAGCAGCATTGGTGACACCAGACCTGTCTGGGGGCCAGGCCACACGGAAAACACGGCCTGGGCAAAACAGGGCAAAGTGGGCTCACTGGCAGGGCTGGGGGAAGAGGGAAAGGTACACCTGGGCTCTTTCAAGAAAATCCTGATTGTGGCTTGGCTTGTTAGGATTGCTTTGGCTTGGGACCCACAAGTGAAGAAAGAGGAAATGAAGTTGCTAAACAAGGAGGGGGAGGGGCTGCGGGAAGGTGGAGGCTGCGCTGGCTGCAGGCTCCCTACTCACCTGAGTGTCCTCTGTGCCTGGCTCCTTGGCTAACCTGGGGCAGCATGGGCAGAAACAACATCAAGGTCACACCCAGACTCTTCTCAGCCCCTGAATCCTCCCCAGGGGGCTTTCCTGACCCATCCTTTCCAGGGGCTTCTGGATTGCCTCTCCCATTTACCTTTTCCTGACCAGGGCCTGATAATGGAGAGACTGACCATCTAGAGTCAGCAACCACAGCTGACACAAGACCCAGTGAGGACAAATATTTCACAGAAGGAAAACAGTAATATGGAGGCCACCTTAAACCTAGGGGCAGTTACACTGCGGGGCAAAGCCCATCTGGTTCTGGAAGTGAGCAAGGTGGAAATTAACACCTTTGATCAGGGCAGTATTTCCCTCTTGCAGATGCCTCTGTGTTAGATTGTCCAATCACGCTCCTGCTCCTACTGGGAAGGAAAACACGACCAGGGCCCTAAAGGGCCTGTGTCTAACCTCATAGAGGGCCACGGCTGTCCAGACATTCACCAGGGTTCCTTTGGTGTGCAAATTGGATTGATAGCCACCAACCCTGGGAAGGCAGTTCCTGGAGAGGGGATTCTGAAGGACACAGGAGCATAAAATGAGGCTCTGGAGTGGCTGAGATGAAGTAGGCTACTGACATAATAGGGGAGAAGCGACGTCAGTCTATGCCTCATCTCTGTGGTCTTGGTTATACAGAGTGAGGGGACCCACAATAGGAAGGGCACCCCAGCAGAGCAGAAGCATTCTCCAGAACGTCACCAGAGAGCCAGGCAGAAACATGAGCTAGGGGTCACTGTGGCTGGAAGTCTGGCTTGGTCTGAATTCTTCACAGGCACCCATTTGGCTCTCACGGCTTTTGTATGCCTCACAGGGTGCTGACCAAATTGGACTTAGATTATCAGTATGATTTCAACCCAACGAAAGGAAATAATTCTCCCTCTTCCCTTTATGGTGGGTACTTACTGACCTTTAACAGCCTGATAACTACAGTTGGTGCTGTCAGCCTACAATAAAACCCCAGGCCCTAATCATGGCAGAGAATGGGAGGTCCACCCAGAAAAACCCACAGAAAAGCTACTTGTAGCTACAGGGACATATCCTAAGGCCAATGCCAGATTAAGAATCAAACATTTAAAAAAACTCTACCCATCTTTCACCCCAACTCTTAACACTCTTGCTGTCAGGGATGACATGTAAAAACCACAGAAATAGAAACGCAGGCATTTCCACGAGAAGAGCTCACAGACGTACAGAAACTCTAGTATGAGCATCGAAAGAGGAGAGACTGTGAACAAGAGGCAAAGAAAGAGAGGTGTTGACTGGGTAAGTCAGGTGCAAAGACAGAAAGTCCCCGTGTCAGGAAGTCCCGGCTCATGAAGCTGTCCCCAATTCCTATGGGAGATGTGGCCCACATTCAGGCCTGAACCAGAACTCTGGGCTGGGGTCACAGTCAGCGCAAGGCCTCAGTGGCTGGGGCATAGCTCTGGGTTTACTTTAGGGAATTGGAGGAAAGCTAGGGAGAGGCCTGGACAAAGTTCCTGGGGCAGGCCAAGGCCACAGCTGTTATGCCTTCAGCCAAGAACATTCCAGAGGAATGCTGGGATTTGATTGGAGTGTGTGTGTCTGGGATTGGGAGTGGAAATTTCCCTCTGTAGCTCCCCTTCTCTCCTGCCTGGTTCCTCTTAGCAGGGGACGTAGGTCTCATCTGGACGTCTGAACTGCGGCTATCCTGCTGACCACCTTGCGGCCCTATGCCATTGGCACCAGCTCATCCTGCTAACATCCCTTGCTCCCAGGCCTGCCCAGGCTCCTGGATGGTTTCAGCACCTGTACTCTATTTCCCCTCTTCTCCCAGTTGCTCCCATGGCAATTTCAGTTTCTTCAGTGGCAAATTCCTTGCTCTGAGTCTCCCAAGACCTCTTCTCTCATCACGCTCACCCCTGTGGGCGCATGCTCCCAACCCACTGTCCAGGAGCTGCCCTCCAGCCATGGCTTCCTTACTGTGGCTCCCACTTCACTGCTGCTTACCCTTCCTGCAACTTCCCCACTTCAATACCTGTTCTGCTCAGGTGAAAGCCTGGAGGCTGGAGGTGGAGATTCCTGGGATCAATCCAGCTCTGCCACCCTCTACCTGTCCAGTTACTGCACCCCTCTGAACCTTGTCTAGAATTCCTCCTTGTGGGACTGTGAAGCCGGGTGAGAAGGCGGAGTTATAATGGGCGCAGCACCTAGTAGGCACCTGGGAGTCAGTGCTGGCCCTTTCTCATCTTCCCTTCCCCACTATCTTGGTCTCCTAAGGGCGGCTGACCACTTTTGTTCTCTCCCCTGATCAGGTCCTCTCTATTACATCCTATTTATTGCTACAGACTGATCATTTACTGACATTCTGCTAAGTGTCAGGTGCTGTTCTAGGCACATGCAAAATAATACCAACAAAGTCTGTGCTTCAGGGGGCTTGTGTTTTGGAGGAATCCAGCAATAGACAGGTTACTATAGGACATAAATAAAAGGTAACTCTCATATGTCCCAAGAGAATTTTGTTTTCTGATTAGCATAACATTGAAGGATGAAGAGTAAGTTTGGAGTTAGAAGGACCCAATTCAAGCCCAGTGCTGCCATTCCATGGCTATGTGAACAAAGTCTCCAGAGCCCATTTTCTCACTACTAAAATGGGGCTGTTACTATATACATATTTCACATGTTAAGGATTAAATGAGATTATATATGAAAATCATTTAGCACAGCTCGTTTCCCAGGTAACAAGTTATCAAATAAGTTTTATGGATAACAAAATTAGGAAGGTATTACTGTCCTTTGCTGACACTGTTTGTTCCTGGCTTCTGTTTTTTCCAATAAGCCCCCAAACTTTTCGATATTCCAGCCTACAATGATCTCTTCCTTTCCAGAAATGCTTATTGTATGTTCAAGTTTTGTGATGAACTTTCTGTTGCTTGTCTGGTCTCCTATTTAGTCTCCATATCTTAGTCTTGCTTTACTAACCTGATTACCAACTCCTCAGGGCAAGGGATCATGCTCTCTGTATTGCTGTATCTATTTCCTGTATCCCACCCATCTACCACAGTAGGAGGAAACCATGAAGCTCTGTCAGTCAGCTCACATGACTACCTGTAGGTAAAGCCTGACTGTCAGGTGGGAAGCAGTAAGAGGACCTGTGGGGCTGGAGGCTTTGGAAAAGGAGGGCAGAAATAGAGGGGAGATGCTGATGTTCATCAGTGATGTTCATCTCAGGTGCCCTGTTAAGCCAGGGCTCCTGCAGAGCTGCCATTACCTCTGTCTTTCCCATTCTGCATCTTCTCTTCCTCTTCCTCTGCACCTTCCTCTGCTGTGAAAACAAGTCCAAGGAGGACAGTGACCCTTCCGCACAGCACAAGCACGGAAAGGCAGGTGAGCAGAATAACTTAGGAGTCTTGGGAAGAACTCTGGCTAAAGGCTCACAGTGTAGACCTCCAAGTCTGATGTCACCCACCCTGCTGCTGGCTTCTTTGGTGACTAGGTGGGGGATGGGGAGTGCCTGTTTTTCCTAAGGTGATAACATCTGCCAGAGATACACCTAATATCTCTCGTTCGGGTTCAGGTTTAAGAAAGCGACAATGTAAGTGCATAGTGGAGGAACACCTAGGTTAACACGGGCTTCTATAAAACAAAATCAATGAACAACTAGAAGTTTTAGCTAACAGCAAACTTAAAATGACTTCACAGTGTAAACTGACCCTGTGGAACAAAGCTAATGTCACCTAATGTTGCTCTCCCAGGGGCCCCCTGTAGAACAGTCACAAATCCCCTATGCTTTGTAGGGACAGTCCCCCTATGATGTGGAGCAGTGTGCTCAGCCCTGGGTGTTCACTTGAATTGGGGCTTTGGAAAACTGAACCACAGGACAGTAAAGTGAAGATCATGTTACATTCAGGTAGGTGAGGGAACGGGGGTAGAGTTGTTTAGAGAAGAGAAAGCAAGGGAGAAGCCACGTTATCTGCCACCAGACCCGTGGGAGGTGACCTGCAAAGGAGGGACTGAACTGATTCTGGGTACCATTAGAGAGGGAACAAGCATAAATCAGCTATAGAAAGGCATATTCTGGTTCCCCAATAAGAACTCTCCAGTGACTAGAGTTGATCATGAAAAAGTTCACTGGGAACCTGCAAATAGAGGACTTTTATATTGGGCAGAAGTTGGATTAAATATCCTCTCAGAACCCTTTGAATTCTAGCATTCCACTATTTATGAAACTGTTCTTAAAAGATGAGGAGGACAAGCTATGGATATCTGTAGAACAGATATGTGCACTGTATACAGTATGTGAAAAAGATAACCTGAATATCTACTCTGATCCTAATAAACCCCTGTGAAATCAAGATCAAGGAGAGGTAAAAAATGTGATGGTGCTGGGCAAGCCTCTTCATTCATTGAGAAACTGTCACCTTTGCATGTAAAGGGAGTTTACTTCTGCATTTTTAAGGGACACACTATGCCACATGAATTTAGTCCACATCTACAGGCTTAAGTGCTGGGGAGAAAAATGGGTATTCGGGGAACCCTGAGTTTGATGCCTGGCTTTGGGTGGGGCAAGAACACTGGCTTCATATTCTACAGACCTGAGTTCTTGGACCAGCTTTGTCCCTTCAAGCTCCATGACTTTAGGCAAACCACTTCTCTTTTTCTTTTTGCAGTAATAGGGATTGAAACCAAGAGTGCTCTAGCACTGAGCTGTATCCTCAGCCTTTTTTATTTTATTCTGATACAGGGTCTCCTTGGGTTTCCCAGGCTGACCTGGAACTAGTGATCCTCCTGCCTGCCGAGTCACTGGGATTATAGGCTTGTGATAATCACTCACCACATTTCTAAAATAAGGGTACTGAACTATATGATCTCTGAGGTACCTTCTAAATGACACTGCATAATCATGTTGAAATCATCCTCTGCTATTATAAGAGATGAATAACTACCCCTGTAAACACCCCATCTCTGTGACACTATTTGGTCTCTGGGTGCTTTATGTTTACTGATGTCCAA